AAGGCGCAGCCCGGCAGGCGCCCTCTTGGGACACCGTCACTCCCAACACCACCCTGAACGCCTCGGGGGATGCGCACCACGTGTCCAGCTACTCCTGTGACTCCTCCCGTGCAGGGCTCTCTGCGTTGGAGCCAGAACGTGCAGCACAGCAGCAGGGGCCCGAGTGCCCAAAGCCAGTGCCCTCGGCCGCTTGCCTCTTCTGCAGACGCGAGCCCCCAGGTGACCACAGCGAAGGGTCTCGGACTGAGGCTGTAGGGATGTGGGGATCACGTCAGCAGACTTCTCGCTTTCCCAACCTTGGCTGGCGTCGGCCCGCCCTCCATGGACCACAGATCACAGGCCACCAGACTCAGGGCACCCTCTCTTGGCCAACTCTGAGGGCACCGGGCAACCTTCCCGCTGCGGCGTACACTTCCGGGCTAGGCCGTGCTGGGCCTGCCGCACGAGCCAGGCGCGCTCTGTGGTCAGATGACAGGACGCAGGTCTGTGCCTGAGACACAGCCCCTCTGGGCCGCGGCCTCTGCTCCCTGAGCAGCGCTGGTCGCACGGCCCCTCCTCAGCTCCAGCAGGGGCACATGGCACTGTCGGGACCTTGTCCCTCCCCCTTGTCCCCTCGCCCACCTCCCTCCATTCTCCCGGCACCTCTGGCTGCCGAGTGGGGTCCTCACTGAAAATGGACAGAGAAACCAAAACATCTCAAAAGCCATAAAAAAGGGTCGGAGCCAGACCCAGGGGATCAGGCGAAGACCCGACAGCGTCCATGGCCAGCGGCCCTGCTCTGTGGCGCCGCGCCCAGAGGCACGCCCGTGGGTCCTGCCGTCAGGAGCAGGCGCATCTGGGTGACACGTCCCCAAGGGAGGGAAGCAGCCGCAGGGACCCTGCTCAGACCTGCGGCCAGGCCTCCGCCAGCCCATCCTTCACGCCCGCCACCACGTGCACAGCAGGCACAGGAGGGAGCTGACGGACAGGAACCGGCGCTGTGGGTGGAGGGGGTTCTCGTATCCCAGGGTGGGCGGCGCCAGCTCACTCCATCGCCCGCTTCTCTGGCGTCCCGGAGGCGGCAGGTGGACTTCCCAAGAGCGTCTCCCACGTGAGGTTCGTGCCACAGGAACGACAGGCGTCCTCCCGTCCATGCGGGAGGGCACAGGCCCTGCACTGTCCTCGGCACCTGGGGCGGGGACACCCCAGCAGCGATGGCGTGAGCCACTCCAACGAGCTGGCTGTCATGGTTGGGTCCCCTTCCTTCTGAGCTGGCTCCCGCTCCCGCCCAGGGCACAGCCTGCAGCCTGAGCCGCTTC